TCTCTCTTCCAGCTATCAGTCTTGATGTCTCGTTCCTCATTTGCCTCAAAAACACCTCTGCAGGTTTTCTGTGCTGCATCTCATATCGATGGTGTCTCATGCTGGAAGCAATCCATCCTATTTTGCAGAGCCCTTCTTAAGAACCACACCCAGCACAAGCCTAAAAGAAATGGGCTCTTGCAGGCTGAGGACTGCTTACAAAATATTAATAGTGGAGTGAGGGCCACAGTGGCTTCTTTTTAGTAGCAATACAGAAATCTTTTGCAAAAATATATCAATTTATTCACTCCATTGAGCTCTCTCTCCAAATGCTGAGACTACAAAAGAGCCCAACAAATGCCACAGTCATGTCTGCATAGCCACAGATTGCTCTCGGTTAGCCGTGGGCTCGTGGCATATCTCAGGGAAAAGGTAACTTGTGGACATGTCTTTCTTCAGCCTCTAAGTCAGATCCTCTTTCACACTAAACAATGTGCCCTGTGGTACCATGATCCCTACCTAATGTCGTTAGAAAGACTGTTTTTACTTATGCCAGTAGTGTGATGAGGCACTGTAGCATATGGCAAGCACATCAGTAGATACTCAAAATATTAAAATTATTTTTCCTGTTGTCCCTGCTCTCCTTCTTCACAATCTCTCTATTTTCCTGCTACTTTGGTTCAAAACCCAGTGTTTTTCATGACCTATGAGAAAATTCACACGTCCAAGACTTCCTGGAGCGGTGTTAGTGAACACCATCCCAGTTCCATATCACAGCACTTCTTGGCATTCCCTCTGTGGCAGAATACCTTAAGACAAAGAGACAAAGCCTTGTAGCTGCATATGGCAGGGTACTACAGGTAGATTCCAATTACCTTTAAAAAAAGAAAAAAAAAGGCTAGTTCAGCCCACAAACAATTTTGTTTTACACAAAGAGCAATTCAATGTGTGGTTCAAGTTACAGACACTGTGGTAGCGCACAAGCCACAGAACCGAAAGTCTTTCTTGCTTAATTTCATCACTTATGTGGTCAAGATGAAGAAATAGTCTTATTCTGCTAATCTTGTGATAAACAGCATTTGCTATGGTGAAAGTGTGCAGCAAAGCATCCGCAGCTGGAACTCAGTTAATAATTCAGCCCTGGCAAACCCTGGATCACTCTCACATGTCTGTATCAGCTCCACAGACCTAACAGGGGAAAGAAGTAACACATATTTATAGTGTCACTGAAGTCAATAGACAGACCTCTAAAATACACCCTGGGAGCAGTTCTGTTGAAGGAGAAGGTGATATGTTAACATCGACAGTTTCTAATCTACCATAACTATTCTCTACCTAAACTTTTGCTATGCTGCAATAGCTATAAACAACATAGACAATAAAACTTGCAGTGAGAAGGTTTCCAACAGCTCATCCCTTTGTCTTAAAGCAGCATTTTAAAGTATAGATCACGTCTGAAAGCTCCCTCATCTTTGTCAAAACTCTCCTCTGGATCTGAACCCTGGGACTAAGACCATATTTTACAGTGACACCCGTGTTTCACATGCCACTGGCTTTAATTGTACACTATGTCCACCAGACATCTGGTCGGAGGAGTCGGGGGTGAGCACGTTCAGAGATCATTTCTTGTCTCCCACACCCGGTGCAATTGCAGGCTGGTGGTAAGGAGAATTTTAACATAAATACCC